ACATATTCTAGAGCCAGCCTTTTCTACAGCACTAACCTTCCTGGCTTCCATCTCAGACTTTCAGGTACCATACTAAGTCACTGAGACATAATCCAGGGAAAACAGTACCTTGTATGGCAAACGTTTAAACCTAGCTTTGTCCAAATAAAAATAGAATGAATATCACAGGCATTGGAAATTCTCCACATTTAGAAGGAAAAATAAACAAGTGGGATGAATAAAGCTAGAAATACCCAAATTTTTATCATTGACACAAATGGCAGCGGTCCCACTGAACACTCCATGCTACATGGACCTAGAAATTAAACAACACAGGTGCACATCATGTAAACCCAGAGTCAAGTCTCACTTTGCTCGTCATTGCCAAGTGCTTGTTCTGAAACCCATGATGCTATAAGCAACTATCCATAGATAGCATGATAAGCATGAAATGAACATCAAAGCACTTAGCACAATGTCTAGAATAATGCAGAGATGATGCATGTGAGAAATCCTTCACAAAAACCTTCTCTTCCGGTACTTTATACCAACATCTGTGAGGTAGTTTGAATATAATTGGCCCCCATAAGCTGCTAGAGTGTGGCATTATTAAGAGGTATGGCTTTGGAGGAGGAAGTGTGTCACTGTAGGGGTGGACTATGAGGATTCGCAGTGTCGCAGCTCACTTCCTATTGCCTGTAGGTCAAGATGTAAGGCTCTCAGTGCCTTCCCCAGCACCATATCTGTCTGCATGCCACCATATTGCTCCATGATAATGTACTAAACCTCTGAAAATGTTTGACACCCCTCTTCACAGCAATAGAAACCCTAAGATAATCTGAAATCTAGCCCTTCTTCCTTCCTCTTCACCTCTGCTACAATCTTCAGTCTTTTCCCAAACTGCATAGCTTCCAAACCTAGTTTCCTAGCAGCTAGAGATTTAGATTACTTCTAGAAGCCACAGACCCTTTTTAGTCAATATCCAAGCTTGAAGGACCAAAAGAAAAAAATTAAAAGGACTTGTAGCTAAAAAAAAAAACTGACCCTCTAAACAGTTCCCATCTTAACCTCTTTTGACTGGCCATGATGCCTTCCCTGCCTCAGTTTCCATTTCATTCAGCTGTCACCACTGCTGTGGCTTCCTCAGAAACTCTCATCCCCATTTAAAAGCAGAATGGCTTTGAAAATTTTAATGGTAGAGCATCATTCTGAAAAACAACTAGTCAGTAACCTTCAAAGGTGTTCATTTCATAACGACAAAAATCACCAAAGAACTGTCATAGATGACAGAAGACCAAAGAGAAATGAAAAGTAAAGTGAAATACAGATGCTTTGGCCAGCAAAGTCTGAAAGATTGTTAGTTAAAAGGCTGATGAATGACTAAGGCAAATAGTAAAGATATTACATCAATGTTATATCCTACTTTTAATAACTGTACTATTAGTTTGATTGTGTAAGATTTTATATGCATTGTGAGAGGTAGAAGAGAACTATCTATACTATTTAGATCTAATGTTATTCCAGAGTAAAACATTTAAACATAAATGTGATTATTCAAGATTTATTATAAAGCATCTCTATCCCATTGGACTTGCTAGGTGATATATTCTTTCTGAGAAACTGGTTCTTATGTTAAGCCTATTTCAGTAAGGCCATCACACAGGTTAATAAAAAGTCAATTCCAAGGTATAGAAAATCCACCTTAAGCACTACTATTAGACTGCAAATCCATTAAGAGAGTACAGTGCCACCTACACACTCAGTAATACTGAGGACTTAATGACAGCAAATGATACTGTGCCTAGCCTTTCATATGACTGAGTAAATAGTCCTCTTGAATGAATATAACTAAATAATATGCTTAAACAATAACTCCACCAGGACCAACTATTCAAAAAGAAAGACAGGAAAAGAAAAAGAGATGCAAGGATGCGTACTGCAGTGCATACCTGCTCCAATGCATACTGCAGTGCACACCTGCTCCAATGCATCCTGCAGTGCACACCTGCTCCAATGCATCCTGCAGTGCACACCTGCTCCAATGCATCCTGCAGTGCACACCTGCTCCAATGCATCCTGCAGATGCATCCTGCAGTGCCAATGCATCCTGCAGTGCACACCTGCTCCAATGCATCCTGCAGTGCACACCTGCTCCAATGCATCCTGCAGTGTACACATATTCCTTCCTTAGACCTTCCTTCAAAGCTCTAAGAAACTGCGTCGGTCAACATGCTCTCAACAAAACCTCATGCAACAGAAGGCAATCTGCTCTACCATATCATTTATCACTGTGATGTGAGTTAGCTCTCAGATATGGTAAATAGAGAAAGTATTTCATTCTGATGCAGACGGTACATTTACTCACTTGTGATTTGTGTGCCCATATCATTAATGATTTCCTCATTAATAACAGCAACAGAAGGCCAAGTACAAGCAAGCTCAGGAGTCAAGGTCATACAGTCGCTCCTTCTCTGAGAAGCAGTTATCACAGGGTTAACCTTGTTCTTTGCACACACACACACACACACACACACACACACACACACACACAATTGGGACATTTTGTACAAAACTTACAACCTTTTTCTACTTGCAACTTCCATACTGTGTGCACCATGACTTCAGCCCTTTCAGCCTACCTTTACTTTTTGGACTTTAAAATACACCCACATTCGTTGTACTGGATTTATTAGAAATCTTATATCTTTTAAGTTATACTGTAGGAATTGTTATTGCTTGCACTAGTTTCTGGGCTATATAAGCCCTACCAGTTTAAACATGCGCTGGTAGCTAACTATTTTCCAAAAGCTGAGAGAGTGCCTGTCATACAAGCACTGAAGTTCAGTTACCAGTACCTATAAAAAAGTGGAACATGGTGCTGAATGCCTATAATCCCAGAACTTCAGACATGGAGGCACAATGGTCACTGAGGCTAGCTAGGCAGCCACTAGCCACTGAATCAGAGATCCCCAGATTCAGTGAAAGAAAGAGTCGAAAAATTAAAGGCAGAAATATGGCTCAGCAATTAAGACCACTTACTGTTCTTGCAAAGGCCCCATGCTCAGTTCCCAGCACCCGCATGGAGGTTTATAACCATCTGTAATTCCAGTTCCAGTTGTTCAATAACATAATCCTAAGACTAAGCATTCATGAGGCCTGCTAGTGACAAAGCATATGAAATGAAGTTATGTCATCTCTACACGACAAAGGTACAGCACATTTGGGGGGCAGAGGGAATGGGGAAATTGATATATACAATAAGATTGTTTCTAAATAAAAAAATATACAGAGCATAATTGACTTGTTAAAAATGCACTTCACCAGTTGGGCATGGTGGTACATGCCTTTAATCCCAGCACTTGGGAGGCAGAGACAGGCAGATCTCTCTGAGTTCCAGGCCAGCCTGGTCTACAAGTGAGTTCCAGGGCAGCCACGGCTGTTACACAGAGAAACCCTGGGGGGGGGGGGGGAGGATTTCAACTGCAGTAGCTATAATTTCTATAATTTAGCAATCCTAATTTGAATATAAATGCTCATTTAAATTAATTTGTATAATAAATATCAATCACTATACCAATTACCTAAAAGAACTGTGTTTTCCTTGAGAAATAAATCATGGTATGTCAGAATATTTTATGAACTCACAATCCTGAATTTCAAGGAGCCATCTCACAGTTTTCAATTACCTATTCAAATTTGCCTGCTTAGAGATAGCCAGCATGTTTTACTACGGGGAGAAAGCTGCACAGCTGTCCATTTGTTATGTGACTTCTTTCTCTTGGGTAGGTATCCTCTTCATCAAGAACTAAGTGAGGATGTAAACTTGTCAGACCAAAGGCAAAAGAACAATGTACACATGATAGGATTATTCCACATGGAGAGGCTTATCAGGAGGTAGCAAAATCAGTGCTCAGAATGACAAAGTAAGGGTATGCTCCCAAGAGAAGATTAACATTAAAGAAAATACTCAAAACCTCAGAAGGACGTCAATCCCATCACTGGCTGTCTGCCATCAAATTCCACTCAAATGCATTTCATTACCTATTAACAAATTAGGTAAGGTGGTTTCAAATGAACCCTGGTAAGCCTTGAAGGAGACACACTTACAGAATATCTATGTCCAGCAGCAAAATCATCGACATGTAAAGACAAATCCAGTTAATGCTGGATTGTTCTACCTGTTAAGATTATCATCCAACAAGAAAAATCACATTCCAACTCATGAAAAAGGAATGCCTGGGAAATAGAAAGCTTCTCTCCCAATAGTAGGTTTCACTGCCATGAAAATAAGTGACAATGACTCTACTACATCAATTGCAGTTCCATACACTGACTTCCATAACACGACATCATACTAGAACAGCTGCAGCTGGAATAAATTAAGCAAGTTCTGCTGCAGTCTATTCTGTGTGGATTTCTTTCTTAAAACAAACAAAAATTTGGAATCTAAAGCACTCAAGCACGCGCAGGAGTGAACACTATGTCACTGTGTCAGTTATGTACCCTTTTCTACAACCATCACTTGGGATACAGTTTTTATTCCCATCCAGTCACAATATTTCACAGAGAAACAGCGCCATCTTTTGATGCAAACAAAAGCCCATAACACTAGTTTTTCAAACTTTTTTTCCAAGTAAATTCACAACATACCCAAATGCCATAATCATCATAACTATCATCTCCTAAGAATGTTTTCTTTTCATAAAAGTAGTAAAACAAGTACAGAAGTTGCTGACAAAGATGCAAAATTGTAAAATATTGCAAAATAATATCAAAAGCATGTATTTTGGATCAATAATACAATAATTTCCACTCAGTATTTCATTAAACAAAATTAACAAATAATGCCATTTGATCAATATATATTAAGAAAAAAAACCTTTTTCTAGCATTGCTATATGTCAATATTGATAATATTTGAGATGTACTCATTAATTTCATAACTGGCCAAATAGTAACAGCTGTAAATTATCAGTTAGATCAAGATAAATAAAAACACAAACAGTAAGATTCTGAATTACTTACACCAATGACACAATGTCACCACGATGCACTTCAAAGTTCCTCACTTTCCAGTGGTTCAAAAGTACCACATCTGAGGACTGGCTTCCACCAGGATTCAAAGAGGGCTACAAAATAAGAAGAGATACATTTTATCACTTACAATTTTTTCAATCTTTATACTGCAGTGTACTTCATAGCTTGAGCTGAATCCAATTTTAAAAATCTTACTATTGTACTTTCCAAATCAACTGCAATTCTGAAGTAAGAACAAATGGGTTTTCAAACAGGCTAACTAGGATTTTTCCAAAATGAAACAGAATAAATAAATAATAAGTTATCAATAGTCTGTCATAGTATATTTGCAAAGAAAATATGACTGAAATGAATTAATAAATTCTAGTAAAGTGGTAGAAAAAATGTTTTATGAAGAATGAAAACATGCTCAAAGATGGATTTAATTTTCTCAGGATAATATTCTGATGGGACCTATTCCCTCATCATCGTGACCAATGGGAAAAGAGGAAATAATCTAACACGTCAACCAGCCAAACATCTATATGAAGAACCACCAGGATTATAAAGGACAAGGATGGGAAAATCACTGAACTATTCATCTCCACCCTTCCCACCCCTCTTTTTCCAAGTACATGTACCAAAGGTCCTACCTAGTGTCAGTCTGAGGTGAGTAAGTGGCCTTCCTCCTAGAGTTCAGACAACACTGACTGTGCCTGGGGATGAATGAAGCAATAACTGAGAAGCACCAAGTTCACCTAGCCACAAAAATTTCACCCATGAGCTATGCTATTTGGATGGGGCAACAACACAGTAAAGGGACCAGAATTCCAAACCCCAGAATCTGCAAAGAAGACATAGCTACATCCGCTGTAACCCCAGATCCTGGGAAGTAAAGGAGCAGACCTGTGGGACTTATTGGCCAGCCACCCCTGACAAATCACTGAGCTCCAGGTCCAATGACAGATACAGACTCAGAAAAATGAAGCAGATAGCCATCTACTGTGGCTGACCTACCAGAGGATACATTGTAAAAGAAAACTCTCCCTCTTTAACAGCTACCAATTGCAAGGGTTCCTCAGCTAGGGGTAGGACCTAATGCCCATCTGGAACTTCGTCTGGCTTTAGCTTGAGCAGGTACATGACCAGCACAAACTGGACTGGATAGATTATTTTTCTTAAAGGATATAAAGTTGAGCGTGTAGAGAGGAAGGAATGGATCTAGAAGACGTTTGGGAGGGGTGGCCATGATAAAAATACAGTGTCTAAAACTGTAGGAGGCACAGCTTGGAGAAAGCCTTGGAAGACCCGGAATTGTTAAACAGGCAGACCCATCTTCTTCAAGGGAAGAAAGGATGCCTTTTCCACTGGAAGGCTGAAGTGGATACTGTCTAACAACCTGGTGATCTTTTTTGGCTGTTCGGTGGAGCCACCACTCACCTGAGTATTGTTTAGGCTCTAATCCTGACCTTTTTCTCTCAGAGTAGAATTCATGCTTATGAAGGAGCTCCCAAGTATTTTGTATTCTTCATCAACAAAATCTAGCCTTATGCTTGTTACAAATTCTTCCTCCTTAGCCCTTGCCCTGAGCACTGTTTATCAGTCAACAGAACTCATTCCTCAGGTGAAGGTCACAGGTGCTTTGCTATAGAGGTGCCTTTTGCAAGAGAGTTTAGATGTAGCCATCCCTGAAGCTTTGTTGTGATAGCTGTCACATGGAGACTTTTCCCTAAAACCTTACTGTGCTCAAATGTGTAAGAAAATTTTTATTCAAATTAAAAACAATCTTATTTTACATACCAATTCCAGTCCCCTCTCCCTCCCAACTTCCCATGTTCCCCACCAAGCCCCCATCCCACTCCCATCCACTCCCTCCCAGGGGGGGTGAGGCCTTCCATAAGGGATCATCAAAGTCTAACACATCATTTGGGGCAGGACCTAGGCTCTCCCCCGTGTATCCAGTCTGAGAGAGTATCCCTCCATAGGGAATGGGCTCCCAAAGCCTATTCGTGCACTAAGGATAAATACTGCTTCCACTGCCAGAGGCCCCATAGACTGCCCAGGCCTCTCAACTGACACCACGTTCAGGGGGGCTGGTTTGGTCCTAGGCTGGTTCCCTAGCTGTCAGACTGGAGTCTGTGAACTTCCCCTTACACAGGTCAGTTGTTTCTGTGGGTTCCCCCAAGATGAGCTTAACCCCTTTGCTCATCACCCTTTCCTCTCTACAACTGGATTCCAGGGGTTTGGCTCAGTGCTTTGCTGTGAATCTCTTGTTTCTGCTTCCATCAGCTACTGGATGAAGGCTCTATGATGGCATTTAAAGTAGTCATCAATGTCATTATAGCAGAAGGACATTTAAGGTAGCCTCTCCACTATTTCTTAGATTCTTAGTTGGGGTCATCCTTGTGGATCCCTGGACATTTCCCTAGTGGCAGATTTTTCTTTAAACCCATAACGGCTCCTTCTATTTTTTTTAATTCTTTATATATTTGAATTACAAACAAGATTGAATTACATGACAATCCCAGTTCCCTTCTCCTTCCCTTCCTCCTCTACCACCCCCCCAAATAAAACCCTACCTATCATATGTCCTTTCTTCTAATCTACCCCTGTCTCAAAATTTCTGCTTCCTCATGACCTCTGCACCCTTCCTTTTCTTCCCTTCTCATTCTTGTAGCTCCCTCCCCCCTCTTCCTATGTTCTCAATTTGCTCAGGGGGTGGTGACCCTTTCCCCTTCTCCAGGGGACAAAGTTGTCTCTTTTAGGGTCCTCCTTGTTTACTAGTTTCTCTGGCAGTGTGGATTGTAGGATGATAATCCCTTACTCTATGTCTAAGATAACGGCTCCCTCTATTAAGGTATCTCTTTTCTTGCTCTCCTTCTCTATTCTTCCCCCAAATCTATCTTCCTGATCCCTCTTTATTTAAAGCTGATCTACATAGTGAGTTCAGACCAGCCAGGGGCTATACAGGAAGACCCAGTTTCAAAACAAAAAGTGGCAGAGAACAATTGAGGAAGATAGTCATTGTCCATCTCTGATCTCTATACACAATACACACACACACACACACACACACACACACACACACACACACACACACACACACACGCACGCACGCACGCACGCACGCACGCACGCACGCATGCACATGCATGCCATAAGCATAAGTGTATGCATACACAAATACCACGCAGACGCAAAAAATATAAAACGGATTCCTAGATTTGCTACTAGGTTTCTTTTAAAGCACACGTGGGCAAAGATGTAGTAATTTTATGCAGAGATTTTAGCATGACTTTATTTTTAACTCTCTGGGTTTATGTAGGGGAAAAGCACACTTTATTACCACTGGAGATTCCACCAATCATTTGCATCAGCGTAACTCCTAACCACCCTCCTTAGCTTTGAATTCCTTGCTAGTCACCTCATTTGACTATGTGACATCAAATCACAACATGACTAAAATAGAATTTGTCATTCTCTACCAAACAGTGTTTTATTCCTTAGGTTCTTCTGAACCATTTACTGCTTTTGCAGTCAACCATCTTGAGACTAGTGATTTCTTTATTTGCAGTCACCAGGCCACATGGTATTTCTCTTTCATCTCCTCATGGTAGCTTTCATATACGATACACCATCAAATTACAAGCACAGTCACCATTTGACTCACAATCTACACTAACCAGTATCCCGCCTCCAACTCCAAAGGATGCCATTGCTTTCCAGCCATGTGATCCTGAGCAAGTTATTCAACTTCATCATGCTTTTCTATACTAGTAAAATGATGGTGATTAATAACTAGTACCTAATTAATAAGCAATGGTGATCTGTACCTGCTAGGCATTCACCATGCATTGCTCTCTGAGACAAGCAGTCACTCTGATGAGCTTTAAAATACTCTTGTCTAGTGATATCATGTTCTTCTTTCTCTCATTATTACTCTGTAGCCCTGGCTAGCTTGGAACCTCTGCCTCCTGGGTGTGCAGATTAAAGGTATGTATCACCATACTGAGATAACTCTTTAAAGTGACTGTATCAGCTCCTGGACCATAGTCATCATCTCAATAATTGTCATGATATTCTACATGACAATCCTAATTATAGGTTTGTGTGCATGCTTTTCCCAGTTCCCTCTTTGCTCTAACCCCTAAACAAGAACAGTCTACACAATAGAAAAAGCTCTAAAGAGCTTGAGTTAGTCACAGAGAGGTTCAGAGTTGGGGGGAAGGTTCAGGGGATAAAGCACTTGTTCTGCAAACATGCAGACTATGGAGTTCAGACCTCCATAATCCATGTCAAACGGGATGAATGTGGCATCCATCTGCAATCCCAGCATTTCAGAAACAGAGAGAAGGGAACTCTGAGGCCAACAGGCTAGGAAGAATAGCAAGAATCGGTGAGCACTGGGTTCACAGACAGACCTTGCCTGTGTACACAAACCTCATGGATATGTTCAGCATCAGATACCACTTAAGTGCTGTGAGAGCTGAATGCATTCTCAAGTCACTTTCTCCACCTTGATGTTAAATTCAAAGTATTTCTCACAATTTTTTTTTCTTGTTGGTCTTTGCAAAAAAAAAAAAAAGCAGTATTTTCTTTTTACTGTAATTCCGTTATTAAATTTAAACTCTAAAACCGGCAACATTTTTTTTGAGCTTTAAACATATGGTGGTTTAAATAAGAATGACCCCCATATGTTGATAGATTTGAATGCTTGGTCACCAGGGAGTGGCACTATTTGAAAGAATTATGAAAGGATTAGAAGGTGTGGACTTGTTAGAGGAAGTATGTCTTTGGGGGTAGGCTTTGATGTTTCAGAAGCCCAAACCAGACTCCTCAATGTGTTCTCTCTCTCTCTCTCTCTCTCTCTCTCTCTCTCTCTCTCTCTCTCTCTCTCTCTCTCTTTCTCTCTCTCTCTCTCTCTTTTTCTTTTTCTCTTTCTCTCTCTCTTTCTCTCCTCCAAGATCATGTCTACCTGTATGCTACCATGCCTCTCACCATAACTAAACCCCTAAACTGTAAAAAAAAAAAAAGCCCCAAATAAATGCTTTCCTTTATAAGAGTTATGGTGGTCATGGTGTCTCTTCACAGCAACAGAACACTGACTAAGAAA